CGGGGCGCCCGGCCGATCCCGAACGGGTCGTTCTGTCTCTCTCGCGCTCACGGGGCGTCCCGCACACGTGCGAGAGAGACAGAGCGACGAATCGCTGTGCGGCGGAAGGTTGCTGTCGCCCGCCCTGCGCGCCGACACTTTGACGCGGTCCAGCTCGGCGGCCTGTGGGAACTCGGTAGGCGGAAGAGGGAAACAGAAAACGGGAAACCCTGCCTGTCCTCCCGGAACTCCAACTCCACACACCCACTCCACCAAACGAGCGCTTTGTGCGCTCCTTTCCCGCCAGACTCAAATAATGGCGACTGTCACTCTGAGGCCGGAGCGCCGCGCACCGCGTCGCGGGCTGTTCACTCGTTTGTTGATTTCTTTTTGTTTCTGCTTTAATTTTTTGCAGGCCGCCGCGGCCCACGGGGCTTTCGAGCCGCGGTGCAGATTCGGCCGCGCCGCGCCGCCATTCTGATTGTTCCTCGCGACGGACAATGTGCAGTTGGCAGGCCTGCCCGACCCGCCTGCACTGCCCTGCCCTGCCGGCGCGGGGCGGCACCGCGTTTCAAAATGGGAGCACCCCGCCCCCTCTGAGTCCCCTCCCCTCAGAGTCGGCCAGGCCCGCCCACCGCCCCGCATTGCCCCGCATTGCACTCGGCGCAACGCCGAAGATGCAGAATAAGGAGAGGGAACTCGTTTCCGAGTAGGATTTAGGCCCCGATTGTAGTTTGAGTTGTTGAGTTAGCCTTGCTTTTATGTAAGTGTGTACCTGCGCGTCTGTGTGAGTGTCCGTGCCGCGGCCTTTTCAAACTTCCCGCGCCGGGCCGGCCGCCTCAAAGGGGAGTATTGCTCATCCCCGGCCAATCCCCGCGCGCGGTTCTTGAAATTTACCGCCACCGGCGCGGGAAGCCTCGCGGAGGGCGGGCGGTGCGAAGCGAAGCGCCCGGCGGCGGGCCCAGCACGCTCGTTCCGAACTGTGCTTTCGTCGCTCTGTCTCTCTCGCACTCGAGGGGCGTCCCGCGTCAAGGTGCGAGAGAGACAGAGCGCCCGGCGGGTAATTAAAGCGTTTTGCTTCGAGTTTCGCGGCGGCCGGCGAATCCATTCTCCACAAAGCCTCGAAGCTCAAAGCCCGCCGCGGACTGTGGACTGCAGCCTGTCGAGCGGTTCCGCCGCCCGCACTCTCTCTCTCCCTCTCTCTCTCGCCCCTGCGACACACTCCATGGGTGCGAGAGAGACAGACGGCAGTGCGGACCGTGTGAGTCCGTTTGAGGCGCACCGGCCGGCCGCGCGTATGATTTGTGTGGGTCAGGGCCTCCGCGGCCTCCGCGGTCTCCACGGCCTCCCCGGCGGCCTCGGCCCCGCCGCCCTGCCCTGCACCGCTGCAGCACGCCGTTGGTGAATCACCGCGCGACCCCGCCGCCGGCCACTTCAAGGAGGGTCCATCCACGCAGAGGATGGACGCAGAGGCGGAGGAGGAGAAACGGCGGACATTGCTCTACATTCCAGACGAAACAACAGCCCCGGCCGGGCCGGCCAGCATTTCAGGAACACTGGCTCCAAACGCCATCGGGGTTGGCATGAGTTGCGCCCCATTGTCCTTGTGGCCCACTGCGGGGCGGCTGGCGCTCGTTTTGAAGACAGGCGTCGTGTCGGCGACGAGATGGCCGTGAGGGTGCTGGCTTTGCAAATACGGCGTGGCGGCGCTCCACGCGCTCGGCGACGACGTCCAATCAGCACGAGGGGAATAGAGCAGTGTGCGTGTCCGACTGTCCGGCGCGGCCACGCCACGTCCGTGTGAGGACGGGACGTTACGGACGGACTCGGCGGGGACTCGGCGGGGACGCCTAGAGACAAGCAGGACAAGCACCCCCATGGAGAGCACGGAGCGGAGCGGAGCGCGGAGCACTGCGTCTCTGATTGATGTGGAGGAAGCATGACCAGTGCCTTGGCCGCCATGGCCAGCTTGCTGGCTGCGCGCAGCGCGCAGCGCCCCGGTGGTCCACCCCGCCCCGCCTCGCGGCCTCGCGGCGCCGCAGACTCATTCCGAGAGTCGTTTTCGTCGCGCTGTCTCTCTCGCACCTGGAGGGGGCACCCCATGAGTGCGAGAGAGACAGCGACGGAAACGACTCTCGGCCTGCAGCAGTAGGGGGTCAACCCTCGCCCGGCACTGGCACTGTGCGCGTCGCGTAATGCTTCAACGACCTGCTGGGCGATTCTTCCAAACAGCGCTTTCGCCGCTGTCTCTCTCGCACTCACGGCGCGCCCGCTTTAGATTAACAGAGCGACGAAAGCACTGTTTGGAATGAGCCTGCCCGCGGCGCTGTGCCTTTCCCTGGCCCTCCGCGAATCAGTGGCATGCTGGCCCGAACCGGCCGCCGGTTAGGCGGACTCGGAGCAACGCTGCACCTCGCCGATCATGCTGGGCGCTGGGCGCCACCGAGACCGAGGGCACCACGCACCACCACTACAAGCGGGCAAGCAGGCAATCAGGGACGATTAGCCGCAGCGCTTCAATATAAATCAAACCGCCGTCGAGTTGTCGAACACTGATGGACAAACAAGGCAAATAGGCTGGTTGGCTTGTTGTGCGCATTCACGCCCCCCCCCCCCCCCCCCCCCGGCCTGGAAGTGCAATGCTGGTCGCGGCTATTGTCACGGCCGGCACAATGTATACTCGGTGTGTAGTGTAGGTACATTCTACAGTGTCATGATGAAATCGTCCCGAGAAATCGAGTTGGGCCCCGCGGCGTACCGCGGCGCTGGCCGGCTGGCCGTCCGGCCTCTGCCCAGCGCGGCTGCCTACCCGCCGGGCGGCGAGCAGACCTTGACTGCACTTCCCTCTCAAACTTGAACGTGACAGGCTGGGCTGGACCGCTCATCTATGCTGTTTGGATGCCACCTCGCCTGGCACACGACGCCGTGTAACCATGAGGTGAAACGCCGCGGCATGCGTTTCGCGCCTCGCGCCTTGCGCTGCGAGGAGTCGGGACCCATGTCCGCTCCTTGGCCGTCTGCCTGCATTGGGTTGCCCTGGGTTGCACGGCCGGGCCACGAGGCGGGTAGGCGGGCGAGGCCCCGGAGTACGATGACACGTTTATTGAAATGATATTGAAATGAAGGGAGGGGGGCTAGGGGGCTGCTCCCACACGGCCCTGCGCTCCGCCAGGCGCCCCCGCACCCCCCAGGGCCCCGCGCCCCCCGCGAGCCGTGACCCCCTGAGAATGCGGACGGTAGCATACGGGAGCCGCACGGGCCCCATCGGCCCGGGGCCCTCCGAGGCCCGGCAGCAGCAGCCGTGGCCGTCGGGGCCGCTCGGGTCCCATGTGCACTTTTCTGGGAAATCTTAGTTTCTTACATGGCTGCATTGTTCCGCTGGGTACAGTCCGGGCCGCAAGCAGGCGAGGTGCCCCCGACTTGGGCACGGCCGGCACGGCCGGCACGGCGCGCTACAAGGGCCCCTCCCCCTTCCCCCGCCCCTCCCCGGTCTGGCGTCGCGTCGCCCAAGCGGCAAGGCGCATCGGTGGCGCAGGGCTTCGCAGGGTAGAGCTGGCCTGGCCTGGCCGCGATCATCTTCCAGTGCCAATTGATTACGGAGTGTTCTGTCGAGTCACCCAGGTCCCAGCGGGTCCCAGGCTCCAGGACGCCCTTTCCAACATTTGCCCCCCCCCTCCTATTTCATTCCAGGAATCCAGGAGGTGACGCGGTATCGAGACGAACTGTACGGCACCAGCCACTGAATGCAGAGTAAATGCGCGGTGTTTGAAATACTTTAGAGCCATCTGTAGGATGTCAAAGAAATACTCAGCAAAAATAACACATGAGTTTAGAAAATTCAAAATTTATGTAGGTGAACCCCTTAAAATTTTAAACAATGTTTTACAGGCACATGCTTTTCAATCATACAAAAGTGTCACCAAGTAATAAATTTAACAAGAAGGAATGGATGACATAATCTTCACTATGCATCCCCACATCAAGAAGACAGATTTCAATTTGACACAAAATCATTAGAAACTAAGGAGCACATCAGACCAGACTGACCAAGATAAAAATGTAATGAATCAAGTAAATGAAGTAAAAGATAGAACATTTTCAATCTTTCTTCTTGAAAAAGTTCATGAGTGATTGTTGTTTGCTCTTGAGAGGGGACTTGCTTGTGACAGGGGAAGCCTTCTTGGCAGGTGCCTTGCCTTTAGTGTTTTTGCTCTTGGATGAGGTAGGGGGAGACTCCTTGTCCACATTTTCAATTTGCTTTGAGGGTCCCTTACTTCTCTTGGAATCCGCATTTTCAGTGTCACTCTCACTAAAACTTTCGTATTCATTCACTTTTTCAGTAACTGTAACCGAAACGTAGATAAGCATTACTAAGATATTCATGGTCTTTTTTATTTTTAAATGAAAGTATAACTAACACTTACCCATATATCCATCTTCATCCATGAATGTCTTATCTTTAGTAATTTTTCTTTTACGGCGAATTCTTCCATTAC